TCAACGATCGTTTCACAGGATTTAACGTGAAACCGAGAGTTATCGGCCTCGGTTCGGGCAAAGCAAGTTTTTTTGTATAGCACAGTTCATAATAACCTTGAGTTGTTGCACTGAAACTGTTTATAACCTGGATCTGAAAATAGTCAGAGAAGAAGTCTGTCTCACATTTTCAGGAAGACTGGTTCAGATTTTAGCATGGATCTGAAACGCTGCCTCCATATGTTTAGTCCTGACTCTGGGACCAGCAGGAGGCCAGTCCCTGTGCTCCTCAGAGTCCCAGCAGGAGGTCAGTCCCTGTGCTCCTCAGAGTCCCAGCAGGAGGCCAGTCCCTGTGCTCCTCAGAGTCCCAGCAGGAGGCAAGTCCCTGTGCTCCTCAGAGTCCCAGCAGGAGGCCAGTCCGTGTGTTCCTCAGAGTCCCAGCAGGAGGCCAGTCCCTGTGCTCCTCAGAGTCCCAGCCGCAGACCAGTCCCGGTGCTCCACAGAGTCCTAGCAGGAGTCCAGTCCCTGTGCTCCTCAGAGTCCCAGCCGTAGACCAGTCCCGGTGCTCCACAGAGTCCCAGCAGGAGTCCAGTCCCTGTGCTCCTCAGAGTCCCAGCAGGAGTCCAGTCCCTGTGCTCCTCAGAGTCCCAGCCGCAGACCAGTCCCTGTGCTCCTCAGAGTCCCAGCAGGAGTCCAGTCCCTGTGCTCCTCAGAGTCCCAGCAGGAGTCCAGTCCCGGTGCTCCACAGAGTCCCAGCAGGAGTCCAGTCCCTGTGCTCCTCAGAGTCCCAGCCGCAGACCAGTCCCTGTGCTCCTCAGAGTCCCAGCCGCAGACCAGTCCCTGTGCTCCTGTCTAGGCCTGTGTGGTCTGCTCCTGTGTATTCGCAGCTGTATGCACTGATTAAGCACATTTCATGGTTACACAGGCGCATAATGAGGCTTTGTTTGCTTGGAGTTGAAATATTAGCTGTAATTGCTTTTCGTCTTTTATGAGGACTCGACCAAAGCCAGGCTGTGTTTCCCAACGTCGGTCTGTGGACATGTTTTATCCAATCAGAGAAGTCATTGAGTCAAACCATCTTCCTGTTTGGACTTTTTGCATTAATTTGGATAATGGCGGTGGAGTAAATGCTCGGCTCTCTCTCTCGCGCTCGCTAACCACATGATAAATGTGTAGAACAGCCCCATGTGACACGTCCAGGCCCTCCATGAATCTCTGCAAATGAGAAATTATTTTGGCGAATCATAGGCCGTGGTTTCTGTCCTCCGTACAGAAAAAAGCTAGCGTTGGGTGTGGGAGCCGCGGCCGCCCTGAGACGCCGCCTGTCACGTCCTGATGGGCAGCCGCGGGTTGGGAACAAATTGTGTGTGGAAGTGCGATAGAGACAGAGCTGGATGTGTGTGTGAGCGGCGGGGCCCGAGCACAAGACCCCTGACAGAGAGAGAGAGTCTGAGCCCCACCACACCTCCACCACACCTCCACCACACCTCCACCACACCTCCACCACACCTCCACCACACCTCCACCACACCTCCACCACACCTCCACCACACCTCCACCACACCTCCACCACACCCCCACCCACCTCCCCCACCTCCACCACACCTCCACCACACCTCCACCACACCTCCACCACACCTCCACCACACCTCCACCACACCTCCACCACACCTCCACCACACCTCCACCACACCTCCACCACCCCCCCACCACACCTCCACCACACCCCCACCACACCTCCACCACACCTCCACCACACCTCCACCACACCCCCACCACACCTCCACCACACCCCCACCACACCTCCACCACACCTCCACCACACCCCACCACACCTCCACCACACCCCACCACACCTCCACCACACCCCACCACACCTCCACCACACCCCCACCACACCTCCACCACACCCCACCACACCTCCACCACACCTCCACCACACCTCCACCACACCTCCACCACACCTCCACCACACCTCCACCACACCTCCACCACACCTCCCCACCACACCTCCACCACACCTCCACCACACCTCCACCACACCTCCACCACACCCCAACCACACCTCCACCACACCTCCACCACACCTCCACCACACCTCCACCACACCCCACCACACCTCCACCACACCTCCACCACACCTCCACCACACCTCCACCACACCTCCACCACACCTCCACCACACCTCCACCACACCTCCACCACACCTCCACCCCACCTCCACCACACCCCCACCACACCTCCACCACACCTCCACCACACCTCCACCACACCTCCACCACACCCCACCACACCTCCACCACACCTCCACCACACCTCCACCACACCTCCACCACACCTCCACCACACCTCCACCACACCTCCACCACACCTCCACCACACCTCCACCACACCTCCACCACACCTCCACCACACCTCCACCACACCTCCACCACACCTCCACCACACCTCCACCACACCTCCACCACACCTCCACCACACCCCCACCACACCTCCACCACACCTCCACCACACCTCCACCCACCCCCCCACCACACCTCCACCACACCTCCACCACACCTCCACCACACCTCCACCACACCTCCACCACACCTCCACCACACCTCCACCACACCTCCACCACACCTCCACCCACACCTCCACCACACCACCACCTCCACCACCTCCACCACACCTCCACCACACCTCCACCACACCTCCACCACACCTCCACCACACCTCCACCACACCTCCACCACACCTCCACCACACCTCCACCACACCTCCACCACACCTCCACCACACCTCCACCACACCTCCACCACACCTCCACCACACCTCCACCACACCTCCACCACACCTCCACCACACCTCCACCACACCTCCACCACACCTCCACCACACCTCCACCACACCTCCACCACACCTCCACCACACCTCCACCACACCTCCACCACACCTCCACCCCACCTCCACCACACCTCCACCACACCTCCACCACACCTCCACCACACCTCCACCACACCTCCACCACACCCCACCCACACCTCCACCACACCTCCACCACACCTCCACCACACCTCCACCACACCTCCACCACACCTCCACCACACCTCCACCACACCTCCACCACACCCCCACCACACCTCCACCACACCTCCACCACACCTCCACCACACCTCCACCACACCTCCACCACACCTCCACCACACCTCCACCACACCTCCACCACACCTCCACCACACCTCCACCACACCCCCACCACACCTCCACCACACCTCCACCACACCTCCACCACACCTCCACCACACCCCAACCACACCTCCACCACACCTCCACCACACCTCCACCACACCTCCACCACACCTCCACCACACCTCCACCACACCTCCACCACACCCCCACCACACCTCCACCACACCTCCACCACACCTCCACCACACCTCCACCACACCTCCACCACACCTCCACCACACCTCCACCACACCTCCACCACACCCCAACCACACCTCCACCACACCTCCACCACTCCTCCACCACACCTCCACCACACCTCCACCACACCTCCACCACACCTCCACCACACCTCCACCACACCTCCACCACACCTCCACCACACCTCCACCACACCTCCACCACACCCCAACCACACCTCCACCACACCTCCACCACACCTCCACCACACCTCCACCACACCTCCACCACACCTCCACCACACCTCCACCACACCTCCACCACACCTCCACCACACCCCCACCACACCTCCACCACACCTCCACCAGACCCCAACCACACCTCCACCACACCTCCACCACACCTCCACCACACCCCAACCACACCTCCACCACACCTCCACCACACCTCCACCACACCTCCACCACACCTCCACCACACCTCCACCACACCCCAACCACACCTCCACCACACCTCCACCACACCTCCACCACACCTCCACCACACCTCCACCACACCTCCACCACACCTCCACCAGACCCCAACCACACCTCCACCACACCTCCACCACACCTCCACCACACCTCCACCACACCTCCACCACACCTCCACCACACCCCAACCACACCTCCACCACACCTCCACCACACCTCCACCACACCTCCACCACACCTCCACCACACCTCCACCACACCTCCACCACACCTCCACCACACCTCCACCACACCTCCACCCCACCTCCACCACACCCCAACCACACCTCCACCACACCTCCACCACACCTCCACCACACCCCAACCACACCTCCACCACACCTCCACCACACCTCCACCACACCTCCACCACACCTCCACCACACCTCCACCACACCTCCACCACACCTCCACCACACCTCCACCACACCTCCACCACACCCCAACCACACCTCCACCACACCTCCACCACACCTCCACCACACCCCAACCACACCTCCACCACACCTCCACCACACCCCAACCACACCTCCACCAGACCCCAACCACACCTGCACCAGACCCCAACCACACAATACAATACAATACAATACAATTTATTCTTGTATAGCCCTAGGTCACAACAGAAGTCATCTCAGAGGACTTTACAAAACCATTGAAATCACCAACACAGGTCAGAGAATCAACAGTTAAAACACATGAAGAATATAAAGCACACAACCAGACCCCAACCACACCTCCACCACACCTCCACCACACCCCAACCAGACCCCAACCAGACCCCAACCACACCTCCAGCGATGAGGGCAGGAGACAGAGACATGCAGCAGAGGGGGAGGCTGATGGCCACAGACACTGGACAGTCCCTTTGCTCACACAGTCCCTTTGCTCACACAGTTCCAGGGACCAGAGGAGGCTGCTTCTTCTACACTGCAAAAAAGGATCAATTATGAGGTCCATCCATCCATCCATTTTCTTCCCCTTAATCCATTTCTGGGTCGGGGGGTGGCAGTCAGAGCACCAACCCCTAGCCCAAGTATTTATTGTTATTACCTGAATTATGAGGTAATAACAATAAATGCTTGGATCGAGTGGTTTTGATCTTAATCATTAAACATTTCTTGTATCTTTTAGAGATAGTTTGGCTCATTGACCTCTTTTTTATATTTTTGTGCGTGCGTGTTGTGTGCGTGGGCCTATGTGTGTGTGTGTGTGTGTTGTTTTGTGTGTGTGCGTTGTGTATGTGTGTGCGTTGTGTATGTGTGTGTGTGCATGTGTGTGTTGTTTCGTGTGTGTGCGTGCGTGCATGTGTGTGTTGTGTGTGTGTTGCGTTGTGTTGTGTTTGCTTGTGTTGCCTGATAGCGTGCTGGGTGCTCCTCTGGCTCCTCTAAGCACCGGGTCAATACTCGCAGCGGCCCCGGGCCCCGGCAGCGGGTCATGTCCAGAACTGTAAAAACAGCAGCTGGATCCAATATCTCTGATTTATGAGGACTGTCAATACGAGAGAGAGCCAGCACGGGACCAGGACGAGAGAGAATGAGAGGGAGGGGGACCAGGACGAGAGAGAAAGAGAGGGAGGGGGACCAGGACGAGAGAGAAAGAGAGGGACCAGAACGAGAGAGAAAGAGAGGGACCAGGACGAGAGAGAAAGAGAGGGAGAGGGACCAGGACGAGAGAGAGAGAGAGAGAGAGAGGGACCAGGACAAGAGAGAGAGTGAGAGGGAGAGGGACCAGGATGAGAGAGAGAGAGAGAGAGAGAGAGAGAGGGACCAGGACGAGAGAGAAAGAGAGAGGGACCAGGACGAGAGAGAAAGAGAGAGGGAGAGGGACCAGGACGAGAGAGAGAGAGAGAGGGAGAGGGACCAGGACGAGAGAGAGAGAGAGGGACCAGGGCGAGAGAGATAGTGAGAGGGACCAGGACGAGAGAGAAAGAGAGAGGGAGAGGGACCAGGACGAGAGAGAGAGAGGGACCAGGGCGAGAGAGAGAGGGAGAGAGAGATAGAGAGGGAGGGACCAGGGCGAGAGAGAGAGAGACCAGGGCGAGAGGGAGGGAGAGAGAGACAGAGAGGGAACAGGGCGAGGGAGAGAGAGGGAGGGACCAGGGCGAGAGAGAGAGGGAGAGAGAGAGAGGGAGAGAGAGAGAAAGGGAGGGACCAGGGTGAGAGAGAGAGAGGGACCAGGGAGAGAGAGAGAGAGGGAGGGGCCAGGGCGGGAGAGAGAGAGAGAGAGAGGGAGGGACCAGGATGAGAGAGAGAGAGAGAGAGGGAGCGAGAGAGAGACAGAGAGAGAGAGAGAGAGGGACCAGGACGAGAGAGAGAGAGAGAGTGGGACCAGGGCGAGAGAGAGAGAGAGAGAGCGGGACCAGGACGAGAGAGAGAGAGGGAGACGGCGAGAGAGAGAGTGACCAGGGCGAGAGAGAGAGGGACCTGGATAAGATAGAGAGACAGAGAGAGACAGAGACAGAGAGAGAGGGAGAGAGAAAGACATCAGTGGGAGCATTATTTTCTTAAAGTGGACATATCGTCTTTTCAAATTATTGATTTTTACATCTAAATCATTAATTTGTGGCCTATATAAAGCATAACTGCAATGCCTGGGTCTGAGTCTTATTATTTGTAGCTCCACGGGCCTTTCTTCTACACCTGTCCTGAAGTGCGTCTGAGAGCAACCTGTTTTGGTGCTGTCTCTTTAAATGCAAATGAGGTGCTTTTGACCACGCCCCCATCCAGGTGACACAGGTTCATCTCCACCCCCGAGCGGCCATTTTTGTAGTTTCTAAGTACAGATACAATTATTTCATAGAAACTTCTCATTACATCGCAAACATGAAGCAGGCCTTCCTCATTGACTGAAAGCAAATGTTAAGTTTCATTCTTAGTCCAGTCTTATTATCGACTCTTCTCTTTTTAGCTTTGGGATCCATGCGCACAGTCTATGATGCTCTCACGCCTCATATCCTACGTCGCAGGATATGACACACTACGTTGACAGAAATGTTTAAATTGAATATTACTTGTGCACATTTTTATAGCATTTAAAAACGTTAAGAACGTTTTTCCTTCTACAGAAGGAAAAAGACGCATGGGCCCCCGGAGCTGCAGGTTGCCGACTCCTAGTTTATTGGCCCCTTGCATGTGACGTCCCGGCCACGCCCACTCTCCATGACAGACGGCAGAAGTCTAACTGGAGCCTACGGACACCTGACCAAAACAACCTGTTTCAGCGCATTACAGCCAAAACTGTGACATTTTGCAGTGCGGTTGATTATACTAACAGACTAGGACATAAGCTTTTTTATCTGATACCTGCTCGTCATGAAGACAGACGACGATGATGGCGGCAATCAACCAAAAGGACTGGGACCCATCCAAGCACTCCCTAATATGCAGTGAACACTTTTTACAAGATAAAGCAATCACAAGTTTGTATTTATTTTATTTCCATTAATTTGGAGGACAATGACACACGTCAAACGTGTCTCTTACTACTGTCCTGTATGTGCGCTGCAACATTGACATTTTTATCTTTTAAGTCAATTGCGTGTTTCACTATTTTCCTCTCCGTCAGTACGTATCATGTTTGGCTGTAGACAGAAAAGCCACAGAAAAGTGGACTATTGTTAATGCTACCAGCAAAATGTACATATAAATCTGCTCCAGTGTGAGGGGATGCATTGTTTACGATAATGATTAAGATCAGGGTGAATTTGGGCAAAAATAGACATTTTATTTAATCGATAAAATTGACTGGGGGGAGAAGGTACGGGTCAACATCCAGTTCGGCGATCCTTAACTTCTCCAAATACCACTCTTTGTGAGCCCTGACCTGATGTCCTACTTCCACCAATAACGTAATCGAACATGTGCTTGAAGCAGCCACTTCTCGATTTAGGAGAGGAAGCTCCGTTTTTAAGAGTTGTGTCCGTTTTGCTCTCGCAGCAATGCTAGTTTCCAATACTTCCGCCGTAAGCTCATTCACAATCATGTGACTGGATGACGTCGATGCATCTGGTCAATATATGTGGAAGCAAATACTGTAGAGCAGTGTCTCCCAAAGTGGGGTCCGCGGCCCCCTGGTGGGCCGCGAGGGTACTGCAGGGGGGCCGCGGGAGGTCATAAAAAAAATAAAAAAATAATATAATTATTTAATGTTAAATTTATAATGTTTTGTTTGTAATATTAAAATATTTGTGTTCATTATTTGACTTGAATAATCCACTGTAATCATTTTTGTATTACAATGTTTGTAGCAGAGGCTATTTCCCCAAAATAAAATAACCAGAAGAGCCTATTCTTAATGTTGTCTTCTTGGTTATTATTTTGGGGGGCCACGCAGACCCGTCAGATTTTTAAGGGGGCCTCGGTGTTACTGAGTTTGGGAATGGCTGCTGTAGAGGATCAGGATATGTGCAGTTTCAACAATAAAATAAAATGCAATAGTCTACATCAAAGAGAGTAATGAACATGTCTCAGAGTGAAGGAGGTGGACACAGACAACACTATTGTTTGTTACAGGGATGAGAATTGGTCAAAAAAGACTGAAATGCATATTGTCAGCCATTTGCTGGCTCTTAATCTGTTTAATTTGTTCACAACATTTTACTTTTGGGCTCAAACATGAACTTTTAATGCAATGCAAAATGTAGGTATCAGAGCTTTATTTAGGGCGTTTAATCGCGCTTCGAGAGGAGAGGGGAGACGCGGACTGTTTCCTGCAGCAGTGTATTTATTGGGTGCACAGATTACTCAAAGACACGCATGGTCCTGCGTTTATGGGGTTGGGTACATGGCCACGTTGAGGCTGCGCGCTCAGTCACAACACGGTGGAGCGGCTGCGAGCCGCTGGACGCTCACAGCCTCTCGCAGCCGCTGGACGCGGAAGCTGCTCATTACAAAGCGGCCGCAGATGCCCCGGAACACTGCGGCCGCTGAGGTGGCGGAATCCCGTTCAAGTACATACAGCAGGTGCCCCGCTCCAACAATTCTCAACGGATTTACACTTCTCATAAACATGTGTTTTGTATGAGGCAGACAGACCGGCCCAAATATGGGCATTGCCCGGTACGCCCGATGGCCAGTCTAGCCCTGTTCGCTGGCATCCTTGAGCTTGGACTACAAATTAAGTGATGCACAGTAGAGGAGGGCTGGGCCGAAGTGTTTTGTTAGACGTCCATGCCCTTATATGGCAGTCTCGCTGCAAACACTGTGGCGTAATAATTCTAAACACGTAATAGAGAATGGCAAAATCAGAACGGGTTGAAAAATCTTACCTAAACAGAATATGAAGTGTTCTCTGCAACCCATGAAGAGACTTCAACTTTTTTGCACTTCTAGAGGCTCCAACTTCACAACATAAGGCATTTAAGGCACAAAAAGTGGATTTTTCATGATATGTCCCCTTTATGAGCTACGAGCTCAGCGCGAATGATTGACAGCCCTTGGCTTGACTCGGTTGGTTAACCTCGACGGCAACGTGGATCTGAAATATAGCTAAGAGAGGGATGGAGGGACTTGCCCGTAATATTTGGAATTAATAAAATGACTGTATTTTATAATCAACATTTTAAGGCCAGGAGGTCAATTTAACACTTCCTAAAATGTGTATTTAATTTGAGAGTTACATGACTTTCACTTTAATCTAGCCACATCTACAGAAGAATCGAGAATCCAAAACAGAGGGAGGGAAGAGGGGTAACTCAGCCTTCCACATTCAACAGATACATGTTTTAAATTCACATATCAATACAAATATACTTTTTATTCATGAATCTGAAACATTATTTTATAAAGCTTTTGACCCGCCCACGCGCAATATGGACTATTC